GGCTTCTTGTGGTGCAGGCCTGGTGCTGAAGCTAGGACACATAATAAATCATATATTACCCATTGTTTCTACTCACAACTCCAATTGCTTGATCACTGAGCCAGTCAACCATTGAAAGTCCAGTTGCCCTCACCAGTCAGAAAATAAATGATGTATGTTTATGGTCTTTTCTCCCCCTAGCATCCCATCTCTTTGATCATCAGCTCCTTGCAGCTTTTGCCTTTGGAAACCCTGCCCTGTCCTCTCCATTTTGGAACATATTCTTTGACCATACCAAGGGCTACGTTTCCCAGTTTACCTGAATAAACTCTTTACATTTTAAAAAAAGGTATCTCTAGGTTTTTGTTTATACTTTGTACTCTTGTTTGTCTTTTTATATAAACTGTATAATCAATTGTCACTCAAAGGGAAAAAATACCTGACAATATTTTTATTAAGATTGTGAAACTTTGGGAGATTGACATATTTTTTTTTATTATTTTTTAAAAAATCCTCACTGAAGACATTATTTTCATTGCTTTTAGAGAGAGAGAAAGGGAGAAACATTGATGCAAGAGAGAACATTGACTGGTTGCCTCCTGTGTGCCCCAGGACCAGCCAGGGTGACATATTTTTCATATTTAGTCTTTCTATCCAAGACCATGGATACACATGTTTTTCCATTCATTCAAATCTACTTTTTATCTTTCAGGAATGTATTATGGGCACTGCCCCATGTGGCTCAGTTGATTGGAGTATTATGCACAAACTGAGAGGTTGTGGGTTCAATTCCCAGTCAGGGCACATGCCCAGGTTACAGGCTGAGTCCAGCAGGGGTGCATATGAGAGACAACTGATTGATGTTTCTCTATCACATTGATGTTTTCCCTTCCCCTCTTCTCTCTCTAAAATCAAAAGCATGTCCTTGAGTGAGGACAAAAAAAAAATGTTACGGTTTTCTTCACATATATTTTACACATTCCTCGTAATGCTTCTGCTTACTTATTTTACTTTGTATTATACCCCTTATAGATAGGTTTTCTCTTCCATTATATTTTTTAACTGGGTGCTTCTGCTTACTTATTTTACTTTGTATTTTACCCCTTATAAATAGGTTTTCTCTTCCATTATATTTTTTAACTGGGTGCTATTTGTGTCTATTATTTTCTGTGCATTTATTTTATTTCCTGCTAATTTACCAAATTTTCTTGGTGTTTGTAGCAATTTTCTTGTTGCCTCCCTAGATATACCATCATAACATTTGTACATAGAAATAGTTTTACTTCATGCTTTCCAATTTTTATGTTTCTAATTCTTTCCTCTTATCTAATTGTTTTGGCCAACACTGCAAAGTCAATATTGTAGTTATAGTGAAGACTATGAATATTCTTGTCTTTCTTCTAGAGTCTCTATGAGGAAAGCCTATAGAATTTCCAATTTAAATTAAATGTTGTTTTAAGGCAGAGGTATATGCATTTTATTATGCACTATAGGTGTCAATTTTTATCTTATTGAATGTTGAATTTTGTCAAATATCTTTGATATCTGTGGGCATGATTATATGATTTTTCTTTTTAATTCTGTTAAATTGATGAATTACATTTATGATTATACTAATATATTGATGCATATACTAATATCCACTCTAGCCATCCTGGAATAAGCACCACAGTGAGGCTTGTTTTATTCATTCTACCAATCTTTGCTTTGGGCCTTTCAAATCTTAGACCCACTTATATCTAATCTAATTAGTGATGTGGGTATAGCTTAAGTCTACTATCTTATTATTTGTTTTCTAAGTATTCCCTGTTCTTTGTTCCTCTTTACCTTTTATTCTGTTTTCTTTTGGATTAATTAAATATATTTTATGGCTCCATTTGATCTCCACTATTGGCTGAGCACTTATTCATCTTATAAATTTTTTTAGGAGTTGCTCTAGTACTTACGGTATAAATCTTCAAATGATCTCTGTATACTCTCAAGCCCCACTAAAGCAATTTATGTAAAATATAAGACCCTTACAACAGATATTTTCATTTACCATCTCTATCTTCTGCGCTATTCTTAATATGTATTTTACTTGTACATTTGTTATAAACCCCATAATACAATGTAAACAGTCAATTATGGTGTAAAGATGTTAAAAGTGAGAAAAACTATGTTTTACATTTATCTTTGTATCTTATAGAGCTGTTTTTTGGGCTAACAACATCCATCATTTGCTAGGAGGGAGACTAAACTCTGCCTGTGAATCTTTCACTCTTTTTTGGCCAGATATAAATGTCTTAATTTCCAAGTTATTGTGACAAACCAGAAACATTCCATTAATTTTGTACATCTTTGTACTTGTGGGATGCTTCTGATCTTAGTCGACAACTCACACACAAAAACATTGAGGACATCTCTAGGGGTTAGAATCCAGGTTTACTGAGGCGATCAATTGATTATTGAAACAATTAACAATTATTCATTTGCTCAACTTCTCTCTGTTCATTCATTAGTTAAACGCGAATTAATCATTTACTATGTGCCCAATTCCAAGTAAGCTACTGGCAATATAAAGAAAAAAAAGTTTTGTCTCTTCCCTGGAGGATCTCCAGATGTAGTAGGTTTTAACTAGAAAAAGTAAAAGTAGGTTTTAAAATGTTTTAATCAGTGTTTTCCTCCTCAGTGCCTACAGTCATTTCTACCACAATTCTTTGTACTCAAAGTTTGATAACTTAGTAATAATATGGAATAATACCAAATATGTTAAGATAACAATAATGCAGTTACCATTTTCCTCATATATATTTTAATCATTTCCTCAAGATAGCCTTCAAACCCTCAGGACAATCCTGTGAAGTATGATTATTCTGATTTCACAGAGGAGAAAAATGAGGCTCAGAGAGTGATTTGCTCGAAGGCACAGCTACTAAGTGAGTGATCTGGGACTGGATTTAACCCAGGTCTGGCTGACTTCGGATCACCCATTCTATCAGAAACAAGCAGTAAAATGTTGGACCAAGATTTCTGTTTCTGCTTGGAATCCCACACCGGAGGAACCTGAGCATACTGGGAGTGGTAGAGAAGGATAAAAGGATGAAGAGGAACAGAAACAATTAACAGAGTAAAAAGGCAACCTATGAAATGGGAAATGATGTTCACTTATCATACAAAAAGGGACCCAACAAAAACCAGAATTATCTTCCTGAGGGCGGGTGAGTGTTCTAGGAACCCATGTGTAGCAGTGTACCCTCTAGTGTTGTTGTGAGAGGCTGTATTCGGCTATAGTGAATTTTTTTTGGAAGACTCTTTCAACGGTTTGCCCATTTCATGATGGGTGATTTATGACTGCACCTGCCCACACTGCACTGAGTGGTCAGCAGTTTTTGACCAAAAAATGGCATGACCCCTGTGCCCCACCCTCCCTACGCACCTGATTTTACCCAGAGCAACTTTTTCTGTTTCTCTGAATGAAAGAAATTCCTCAAGGGGAAACATTTTGCTGATGTGGAAGATGTAAAACAGGTGAACTAAAAACAGCAGAAGCACTAAAATGCATCAAAATCAACGAGTTCAAAAACTGTTTCGAGCAGTGGAAAAAACGTCTCAGTAGGTGTATTGCATCAAATGGAGGATACTTTGAAGGTGACTGAAGTTTAAACATGTAAGAATAAGTACACAATTTTTGATAGATTCTGGTTTTTTGGTGGGTCCCCCCTCATGTACCTAATAAGGGGTTAATATATGGAATGTATAAATTACTAACTCCTACAGCTCAACACCAACAAAACAACTTGATTTAAAAATGGGCATCCAGTTCAAATACACATTTCTCCAAAGTAGATATACAAATGACCAATAAACACATGAAAAGACACTCAGCATCACTAATCATTGGAAAAATGCAAATCAACATTACAATGTGATATCACCTTACTACCCACTAGGATGACCACTATAATAAAAACCCCAGAAAATAACAAGCGTTGGAGAGGGTGTGGAGAAATTGAAACCCTTATGCACTGCTGGTGGGAATATAAGATAATGCAACCGCGATGGAAACCAGTATAGAGGGTCTTAAAAATTAAAAATAGAATTACCATATATACTAAATATATAATCACTACATATTACTATATATAAATAGATTACTATATACTATATATTACTATATATTCGGTGAATATATATATTCACAGTATGGGTATAAATCAAAAATAAGTGAAAGCAGGACCTCGAAGATACATATGCACACTCCTGTTATTGCAGCATTATTTACAAAGCCCAGAGGAGGAAGCAACCCAAATGTACATCAGGGGATGAGTGGATAAAGAAGATAAGGTATGTACATAGAATGGAATATTATTCCATTAAAATGAAGGAAATCCTGTCACGTGCTGCAACATGGATAAATTTTGAGGGCATTGTACTAAGTGAACCACATCAGTCACAAAAAGCAACTGTGCTTATATGAAGTATCTGAAGTAGTTAAACTCATAGAAGTAGAAGTTTAATGGCTGCCAGGGCTGAAGGCAAAGGGCAATGAGGGCATCTCTCAATAAATAGTTTCAGTTTTCCTCTTTCTTTCTTTTTTACATTTATTTTTATTGTATTTTTCCATTATCATTTGTCCCCCTTATACCTTTCTCCCCTCTCAGTTTTTCAAGATGAAAATATTCTAGAGGTCTGTTACATAGCATTGTGAACATACTGAACTTGTGACCAGCACATGTCATGGTTAAGATAGTAAAATTTGTTTTTTTACCACAATTACAAATAATTTTTTAAGAACGAAGAAGAGGGCAGCCCTGTGGTGCACTCTTCACACCCGAATTTATTTAACTAAAAAGAGAAAGAAAAAGAAAGAAAAAAAAAGTGAGCTCACTTTTCTTTGCTTTTCCTTGCTTTTCATACATTAGCAAAGGCCTCAAGGTTTAGCAAGGTGTCTCCCTTGCTGCTAGGGCCCTAGCCCCGCCCCTTTCCCCGCCCACGTCCCAGTTTCCTCCAATCGCGGCTCTGGCCCCGCCCCTGCCCGAGCCTCTTTCCTGCATCCGGGACTGGTTGGCCGGCTCTGAAACCTAGCTAGCGGCATGGAGGTCCATGGCGAAACCCCGTCCAGCCCGAGTTCTTCCTCGTCCCCCAAGGATGGCTCCGAGGTCTCGGTGTCCAAGGAGCTGCTGACGGCAGGGAGCGGCGGCCGCGGAGGTGACGGGCGGGTGGAAGCGGCGTGGGGCGCGCACGTGCGGCGTGGGCACGCAGCTGGAGCAGCCGGGTAGACCGTAGGTCTTCTGCCCAGGCCCAACACCCCGAGGGGAGCCTCTCGGATGATCGCAGGGCTTCGGCGTACCCGCCGCCGCGTAGATGGCAGGGGGAGGACGTAGGTTTTTACTTTCCGCGTGGTGTTGAGCGCCCACTCTGCCAAGCATTGCAGCAAAACCCCTCCCCAAAGGGGAGGGCCTTGTGGTCGGCGTCTGGATCCTGGCGGTTGGCTGGTCCCCTCCCAGGTAATTGTTGGGGATTACCACGCTTTCCCCACTTCCACCCCTCCATGCCCAAAGAACCAGCCCCTAGTGCCCTCTTGGAGAGGGAGACGTGGGTCCAGGGAGTCCACACGGGATTTCTTCACACCATCGTAGGGAATGAAAAATCAAGAGTTCAAATCCTAGCCCTTATGAGTAATTAGCTCTGGGACTTTAGGGGAGTTGCTTACGTTTTAAACGCTCCAGTTTTCACATTTGGAAAATGGAAGTAGTAGGATCCATGAATTTTTATGAGAGAATTTAATCCTCACAACAGCCCTGTGCAGAAGGTTCTGCTATCTCCATTTTGTAGACGAGGCAACAGAGTCCTGGTGTATCATACAGACAAGTAATTTGCCAGAGATCATGTGGTTGGAAAGGAACAAAACGGGGGTTTGAATCCAGCCTGCCTCCAAAGTCCAACTCTTTACACTAGTTAAATAGCTAGGCCTAAAGTCGAAAGCCACCAGTGTTGGTGGAGCTCTGCTTTGTGGACAAACAGTATTTTTGTATCAGAATGAAGAGATTTTGCAGGTACTAGAAACGCCATGCAAAACCTTGAGTTGGGTTGATTTAAGAAGTAAGTGAGTGACGAGACTGAATAGATGGAGTTGGGGGACAGAATTTCTCCAAGGGGTGTCTTGTTTAGGTTGGGCATTTTAAATGAAAGGGAACTAACCAGGCAGACATGTTTTACAAATGAAAAGACGAATGCTCAAAGAGGTTAGGTAATTTGCCCAGTATAAAATAGCTGGTAATCATTTCTCGCTTCATTTAATCATTGTTGTACTCTGCACTGCTTCCTGCATTCTGTCATTGCAGACCTGCTTTTGTCACCGATGGATTTCTGACCCAGAAAGGTGCAGTTTAGTGTGCACTTATTTCTCAGCATTGGTGACACAGAGATGCATGAGACAGGTTTAAGAAAGGGGAGATAGATGTACGTAAAGAACTAAAATGTTGTAATGGAACTTGGGGTGCTCCTGTTTTTAAAAGTGTATTGGGAAATGTGGGATGGTCAAGACTTGAGAGTGGTCATAGAAAGCTTGCTGATGGGCTCCTATTTCTTTATGCCGTAGTAAAGTAAGGGTTGTGTGTGTTTTTTTCCAGGTATATGGGACAGATTGCTCATCAACTCCAAGCCTAATTCCAGAAAGAATTCCACTCTTCAAACAGTTCGGATAGAGAGGAGTCCCTGTGAGTACCCTTCCCTCTCTCTCTTCCTCTCTCTCAAGAACCCTCTCTAAATGTTAAATTCTGCCTAATTAAGCATTTATTTGATGGGACTGTCTCTGCCTTCATGGTCAGATATTAAACCACAGTCCAGCGGAGAGTCTTACTTGGGATTTACATTGTGAAGTCTGTGCACAGGGATAGGGTTCCTTACATATTCTCCTGCTTAAAGGCAGTAACTTTCCCCAGAAAAACTCCTTGTGGGATGAGTTTTTGGAAATCAAAATTAATTATTGTTAATCTCTGTGGGAAATTATTTTAGAGGGTATGGCCCCAAATTGTAGGAAATTTTTCTAGAGGTCAATGAACCCAAATTTAATACACATATATGAGAAAAGTCTATCAACTTCTGGTCAAGATGGCTGCGTAGGTAGACATGGCTCGCTTCTTTGCACAACTACATCAAAATTACAACTAAAATGTAGAAAAACCATCACTCAGAACCATCAGAGAAAACACCACCACATTCCATTAAATTGGACACAATTACTTAAACGGTAAATGTTACTCATAGCATGAAATAACAGGGCAAATTCTGGTCATTAATTCAATGAAAACATTGCAAATAATGCATGAAGTTACCATGTCTATAAACTAAGGAATAATGAGTATCCTGCCAGAGGAACTTAACTGCAGTATATACTAAATCTAGAACAGCTAAAATCATAGTGGCTCTCCACTCAAATACAAGCTTTTGTGTGGACCTAGGTTTTCATTTTGCTGGTGGCAGATGGAGGCTGGGCCCATACCTAAGACTGGAATTGTTAGGTCATTTTGGAAAGCGTTTTTTTATACAGAGGAAGTTGCCAAACTTCCAAAGTTGGTTTGTTTTCCAGAGTTGGGTATACCGTTTTGCATTCCATCCAGCCCCGTGTGAGAGTTTGGTTGTCTTAGTTGTCCCTCATCCTCAGCCAACACACTGTGTGGTCCGTCTTCAGCTATTCTAGTGTGTATGCAGTGGTATCACATTGTGATTTTAATTATTTTTCCCTAATGACTAGTGATATTGAAGAACCTTTCATGTGTTTTTTTTTTCCCCCCATTTAAATGTTTTTGGTGAAGTGTCTGTTCCAATGTTAGCTCATTTTGACAACCAAGCTGTTTATCTTACCGATAAACAACATTTCTTACAGTGCAAGCCTGCTGGGGATAAATTCACTGGCTGTTGTACGTCAGAAAGTACTTAATTTGTTTTCAGTTTTGAAAGATATTTTCAATGCATATAGGATTCTAGGTTCACAGGTTTTAAAATTTTTTAATTTTTCAGTATTTTAAAGATGTTGCTCTGCTGTCTTCTGACTTGTATTACTTTCGTTGGGAAGGCTATTATTATTTTTGTCATGTACAAAATATTTCCTACCACTGGTTTTCACCATATAATACACCAAAGAATATTGTGGTATGTCTTGTAGCTTTCTTTGTGATTCTTGAGCTTGGGGTTTCATGAACTTCTTGGATCTGTGGATTCATAGTTTTTATCAAATTTGGGAAATTTTTGGTTATTTTTTTCCTTCAGACATTTTTTGTCCCCTCTCACATTTCTGCAGAGACTCCAATTATACATAATTTTGCTTTTTGAAATTGTCCCACATTTCACTGCTACTTGGTTTTCTTTCATTTTGGTTTTAGTCTTATTTTTGTTTGTTTCATTTTGGGTAGTTTCTATTGCCGGTGCCTCTGGGTTCGCTAATCTCTCCTCTCTAATCTGCTGTTGAATCCCTTCCAGTTTGTTTGTCAAATAGTATAGGTCAAATCTCTAGAAGTTCAATTTGAATCTTTTATTTATATCTTTCACGTCTTTCCGTATTGTGTTCATGCTTTTCTATGCTTGCTTGACTATGTAGAGTGTCTCTAATAGCTGTTTTACCATTCTTACTGCTTAGCCTGTCACGTGTCATTTCCAGATCTCTTTCTATTGATTTTTTTCTACTCTTTACACGTATGTTCCTATGTATTTGCATGCTTGGTAATTTTTATTGGATGTTGGACATTTTGAATTTTATGTGTTGTATGTTGGATTTTGTTTTTTTCTGTTCTGAAGAACTACAGATGGATTAGTTTCACGGGTTCAGCGTGTACTGGTCTAGAGTAGCATAGAAATAAATATTTGGCCTCTCAGAATCATGGTTTATACCGCACATGTAGGTCCTTGTTTTGCTCCACGTGATCCATTAGTTAAAAACCAAAGCAGAACAAAATATGGCCTCATACCTGATCTGAGGTAATAGATGTAAATCTGCAGGCACATAATATCTTTATTTTATTACTCTGTGTATCTGAAGGGACATGAAAGAGCATGTTTATTCACTATTTAGTATGTGCCAGACATGGTGTGGTTCTTGGTACGTATGTGACCTCATTTAATTCTTCCAGCAGCCCTATTTTACAGTTAAAGGCCATTTCTTGACCTTTATCATCATTTTCTCTTCTTCCATACTCTGGACATTTTAGTCAGCTGTTGTGTAGTTGTATTAGCGACTTAATGTTTTGAGAGCTAGTTATGTGCTGAATCTCTTTTGAAAGAGAAAGAAATTGTTATCCCGTATTTGTTGACCCGCCTGTGCATAGCACCATGCGTGCTAGTTATCGCCCTTGTGTTACAGATGAGTGGACAGGTTTCGAGTGGTTAAATTAAATGTATTAGTTAGGAGTCATTTTGTTGGGGGAAACCTCCAGTCATTTCAGACGCATCTGCACCCCTGTGCTTGTTTTCATTGGGGGTCTGCTGCTCTGCGTCTCTTAGTCCTTGTCTCCTAAGTGTTGGCGTCACCTAGAGCAGGCTCTTCCCCACCTTGGGCAAGTTGGCCAGCTTATCAGTAGTTCCAGGCCTGGATTCAGCCGCTCGCTTAGTCACTTGGAAAGATGTTCCTTCTCAACTGTTCAGACCATGTCTCAGAGTGACCTCTTACTGGTCTGACTAGATCACGGTGTCACTCTGTGTGCCACTGACCCAACTCATGGTGGCCAAGGTTACGGAGCAGGTAGGCATACCTGGGGTGAGGGACGGGAGTGACTAAGAGTGATGGAGCATAAAAGGAAACTGAGGCCCAGGCTGGGGAGCTCTGTTGGCTGGAGCATCATCCCAAACACCAGAAGGTTGTGGGTTTGACCTCTGATTAGGGTCAGAGCACTTAGAGAAGCAGCCAGTGAATGTATAAATAAGTGGAACAACAAATGTTTCTTTCTCTCTCTCAAATCAATAAATAAAATGGTAAAAAATATATAATAAAAATAAAATTTGAACTTTGGCCAAACACGTAAGTATTGATAAACTGTATTTTCTCTCCTTAGTATTGGACCAGGTACAGACCTTTCTCCCACAGATGGCTCAGGCGAATGACAAGCTAAAAAAGGAAATGGCAGCTGCACCACCTGGTCATTTCAATATTGAAAACATTGATGAGACGCTTGGAAAAGTTATACAAATGGTAACTGTTTTCATTTCATGTAGTAAAATGACCAGTGTGCCTCATCACCTAAAAAGAGAGACAACTTTTCATTTTAATTCCACAGTTATTTTCCTTTCTTGAGAGTCAGCTCATGTTTCCAGTACTGCTTAGGTACTTGGTCATTTTATGATTAAGGATCTTATAGGTCAGTAAGCTTCCCTGGGTGACGTTTAGGGATTAAAAGTGCAGAATCATAGGGGGGCTTTCCGGTCAAATATTACATTTGTTATCTTGAAGCATTAATTCAGTAAATGTCCTGGCTGGGTCCCCCTGTCCCCCATCCAAGGCCCAAAGAGGTAATATAGCCTGGTTCATTGAGAATACAAAAATTAATGATATGTTTAACAGAATACGTTATCTGCCAGAATACATTACATAAGCCACGTGTGGAAAGGGTCTCAGTTTAGGCTCATGTCTTATTTATACGCTGGAATTCTCTTTATAACAGTGTTTGGACAGAGCTGACAGCATTGTTCATAATAATATCTAATTCGTCAGCAAATCTGGTCAGCTCTGCCTCCAGGATATCTCCCAAATCCAGCCACTTTGCATGCACTCCATTCCTGCCACCCCATCCTAACACTTCCAGTCTCCTCGTGGGACTGTTGCAGTCATTCCTAACAGGCCTCCTTACTTTCTCCCTCTCTTCCCTAGAGTCTGTTCTTCACACTGTGTGTGAGCCACAGTTGGGGAGCCAGGAGGCTTCCCGTCCCATTTCTAATAAAGTCCAAGTCCCTCCAGGACCTGTGTGACCCGCCTCCAGCGCTAGCCGACCTCATTGTCTGCCCTCCAGTTTTGTCCCCTGACGCCAGGCCTTTTCCCGTTTTGTAGGATACTCTTCCCCGATTTCTGCAACTTGACTCACTTTGTCTCTTATCAGTTGTCACCTCCTTAAGAGGCCTTCCCCGTTGACCTTATTATTACCTTATCCTGCTTTATTTTTCTTTATTTTCTCTACCCTACGCCATGCTGTGTATGTACTTGTTTGGTATTGTGTTTCTTTCCCACCTGGAGCAGAGGTCAGCAGACATTTCTGTCCAGAGCCGGGTGTGAATACTGCACGCTTCGTGGGCCGTACTGTCTTACCCTGACTGCTCACGTCTGCCGTTGTAGCGTGAAAGTGGCCGTAGGCGATACTTAATGAATAGACAAGTTTTATTAACTTGCCTTCTGGATACTGAAATTTGAATTTCATGTAGTGTTCATGTTTCGTGAAATAGTGTTGTTTTGATTTTTTCCCCCTACCCACTTAAAAATGTAAACACCATTCTTAGCTCATGACCTAAACCAAGACAAGTAAGCACACTGGGTTTGGCCACCAACCCCAGCTTAAAAACACGAGTTCCACCAAGGCAAGGATTCTGTTATTGTTGTTGAGTCTCTAGTTCATAGTGTGGTGCCTGGCTCATGTTAATAGTTGTTCAATGAAAGAGTGTATTCGGGACATATACAATTGGGTTATGGGGGTCTTTTTAGACTTAGAGTAAAAGTAAATTATTGTGGTGGACTCTGGCAACTAGAAGCATAAAAGTGCTATATTGGTATCAAAAACACGTTCTTCGTGCTTCAATATTGTGCTAAATGTTGGTTGTGCCCAATGTTTTATTGTGACTTCTTAGGGAACTGCCCTGAAATAAATTTCCCACATGGCGTCTTTTGCAGGATGTGGCTTTGTTTGAGATGAATCAGTCTGATTCAGAAGAAGAGGACAGTTCAAAAGAGAATTCACAGGCCAGTTCGGAGGACAGCTCGGAATCTGAGGATGAGGATGACAGCTCCGGTTCTGAAGTCACCATAGATAACATCAAGCTCCCCCACTCAGAAGACGGAAAAGGCAAGATAGAAGTTTTGGACAGTCCTGCCAGTAAAAGAAAGAAATAGTGAAATAAATGATCTCAGAAACAGGTGATCTATGCCTTCTAATTCTGTGAAAAAGAATGCAGCTTGCCGGTTATTTTGCATTTCAGGTGTATGGTGCTTTTGTGTCACGTTGGATGTGTTTTGGTTCTCGGAAAAACAGCAGCTGACTTTTATTAAAGAGTGGGAATAGGTACATTTGGGGATCTTCTAAGAGCAGATTACCTCTGATCTCATGGCTAAAGAGATTTAGTTTAGAAAGCTTAACTTTATTTTTGGTGATGAGTGAATTTGTTGGCTTTTTTTCCCTTCAGCATAGACTTCAGACATAACCAGTGTGTTTATTTTTTTCATCCTCACCCGAGGACGTTTTTTCATTGCTTTTTAGAGAGGGTGGCGGGGAGAGAGAGGAATGCAATGTGAGAGAAACATCAATCAGTTGCCTCCTGTATGTGCCCCGACTGCTGATCAAACGCACAACCTGTGTATACACCCTGCCCAGGAATCGAACCCTCAGCCTTTCGGTTTATGGGACGATGCTCACCTGCAAATCACCTGTTCATTTTTGTTTTAAATTATCATCTCAGGTAAAACAACCGAGGTCGGGGGTTTTTTTTGTTATTATAAGTTCAGATTTGTTTGTTAGCATCAAAGTGGGTTTAGTGAGAGCGAAATTTTTGAGATAGATCTCTTACAATAAAAAGAATTACTTAGATTCAGCTGCCTTCAGGCGTATGTCCTTTCATTTAAAAAATATATTCTCTTCTAGTATGAGCTATGAAACTGGTTCTCTGTGGGTTTAATCACTGTTGGTAACTCTGCAGCCACTCAATGGATATAGAATTTACTGATTGGAGAAATTTATGGTTTTTGTTTTCATTTTTTACATAATGCAAAAATTTTTTCTCAGCTATTAGAACTATTTTACATAGTTGCCCACAGTTTGAAAGCTATCAAATGTGGAAAATAGGGACACCACAGGAAAAATAGGGCACAGAACACAAGAAGGTTTTCCTATTCAAAGGCAAAAATGGCCCTACACTGGAGTCGACTTTCTGCCTCATTCTCTACCTTATTAAACTGGTTCAGACCTCATCTGCCATAGGGCTGGCTTGACTCAGGACGTGGGTCTGAGAATTTAAGGGACTGTCTCCAAGCAGGGTGCTGATGGGATTTTGTCCCCTAATGTTCTAGGTCTCTTGAACTATTTTTCCTATTCTTCACCTTAGCCTTGAATACTCTAACATAATTCTCAAGGTTCATTCTGGTGTTTCCCATTGGAAATTGGAACCAGATCTCCCAGGCTATGCCTCACTAGACGTAGGAAGAAATGAACAGGTCTGGAAACAGGACTTCTCAGCTGGAAAGGGTATTGTGCTTTACTCCATAGCACCACACACAGTTGTGATGAATTATTGGTGTAAATATTTAAAGATTGTTTTCTACCAGGTAATTTATGCTGTATCAGGGGAAGAGTTGCATTTGTCTGATTCACTACTTAGCATGGTGCATGGTACACAGTAGGCACTGAATAAATAATTAACAGGTGTGGGACATTTTAAGTCATGGTAGGCTGCTCCAGCTGGAGGCTATGCAGGTGTAACTTTACAGGAAGTGCATATCCAAGTAGAAATAGACTGATCAGTGATAGAGGCTAGTCAGTCTAGACATACATACTAGTATGTAGAATTTAAATATTTTTCTCCTGCTTTGGTTATATGATAGAATGAGGCATCTTACACAGTTGAGGAAGCCAGTTAAGTTCAGGTCCTCTGGACATTTTTATGACACTGGAGAAAAAAAGGAAAACATTTAATATATGATAAGGATGTCATTTAAGCAAGTGTAATATAGAATAGTTATTTAATGTACAAAGTCAGGACTGGGTATTTTTAAGCAAGGTTAGATTCCAGCCTCATACCATGGGCTAAGATAAATTAGAGATGGATTAAAGATTTAAATATAAAGAAGTCAAATTATAAGGTTTCCATACTAAAATGGTGATTATTTAATAAGCTTTTTAAAAAAGCAGATCATTAAAGCCTGAAATCACAAAGGAAACAGCAAAAAATTCATCCACATAAATATTAGAAACCAGTGAGTGACAAATTTAAAGAGCAAAGGACCAACTGGGAAAAATATTTGCAGTATAAGACAAATAGTGAGTGCCATTAGTATATACAAGGCTCTTTAAATTCATAAGAAAAGTCAATATCTCAATAGTGAAAATAGCATAGAACACGAACTAGTAACAAAAAAATTGTTCAGCCCCATTTATCAAAGACAAGTGAATGAAACCAAGATTGTACCATTCTTGCCATGTATAATGCACACTTTTTTGCCTAAATTTTTGAGGGAAAAATAAGGATGCGCATTATACATAGGTAATATTAATCCTGTATCTATATAAATGTTTTTAATTCGTTTATTTTTGCTAATGCTTTAAAAAGTGTAACTCCAGAAAGCAATAATGATATCCGTATGCAAAATAATACCCTAGAATACGTTCATCAGTTTTGTTTCTAAATATAAATAAATTAAAAATTGAATTAAAAAATTAAAAGATTTCTTTCGTGAAAATTTGGTCCAAAAATGTGGGAGCACATTATACACGGCCAAATATAGTATATTTTTACCTATCAAATTGGCGGATGAAACTACCTAGTGAGCCCTTTCTGTGTGTCAGCACTATTTTAAATGTTTTACATTTGAGTTACCACCATTCATATGTATATAAAAATTTATTGAGTTGTACAATGTACGACATTGGTGCACTTTATGTATTTTACACCTTAATTTAAAAGCTGTTTTGTTTATAAGCAGTTTGCCTTACAGTCTATCGGAAAGGAAATCGCTGTTGTGCTTTGGTTGCCCCATGCCCATTCCCAAGTGACCCTGTGCTTCCTCTGCCTGACGCTTAGGTGAGAGAGGATGGCAGCCATTTGGAGAATGGTTCTGTTCCTGCTAAGGCTGATGAAATGTTCTCTTTAGAGTTGTGGGTTATTATAGCAACTGTGGCTCTGGGAGCATTATAAATCAGAAAATTAGGTGTAGTAGTCTTTGAAGCAAAAATTTCATTCTGAATGAATCTACAATCTGTTTTCACACTTTAATTCTACATCAAATATGTACGTCCACACACAAAAATGCCTTGCAAAGTTGTTTGTAGTTGGTATTCTTGTGCCTGTATCCACTACTACAGTAGGAAAGATAAGAAAAGAGTTGTCTTAACTTTCTTCTGTATTTTCCTCAGTGCCTGGTATATGTAGTGCCTTTCATTTGGTTGGAATGTACAATAAATGGTCATTAAACTATTTTTTCTCTTTATGTCAATAAAATAACTCATTTTAAACATCAGTGGTTTACAGTCTTAAAAAAAAGGGTAATATGATTGGTAGACTCTTCCCAAAAGTTGAACATATCTTTGTGGTTGACTCCCCCCTATCCATTTACGGAAAAGCCCTTGGCAATGACTGGCTTGGGAATGGGCATGGGATATGAACCTTCCCAACAAGGCTCGAGCAAAGTCTTAGTAGACTTTGGCAAGGGAAAGTATTTCTCATTCCCGAAAAGAAGGCACATGAAGAGATGGTTCCTTCTTTCTGGAGAAAGGGCTGGATATCTTATTTCTGCATATGATTCCTGGGATTCCCATCTAGTGGCCACCCCTAGAGCCAGCTCTTGAAGGTACAGTGAGCACACAAGGATCCAGAGCAAAGCAAGAACATCATTGCATCACTGCATTGCATAATTAGATCAAACTGTTGCTGAACTTGTTTCATTACAACAAATTTCCTTGTTAACAAAAAACCACCCCCTTATGAGATACTCTACTTATACCCATTTCACAGATGCGAAAATTGACATGGAGATGCTAAGCAGATTCCTAAGGCTTCACAATAAGTGAGTGAGTGTTGGAGCCAAGTTCTGGGTTCAGTCACACACCTTCCCGTCATGGGCCTGCTAGTCACTGTGCTATGAGCTCAGGCTCGGAAGCTCTCTGGATCAGATCCCAGCCCAGCCACTTCTTTCAGTTTCTCCATCTGTTAATGGGAATGACAGTATCTCTTGTGGAGTCTTCATTTTTTTAAAGATTTTATTTATTTTTAAAGAGATGGAAAGAGAGGGAGAGAAACATTGATTGGTTGCCTGTTGCACATCCTCAACTGGGGACTGGCCGGCAACCCAGGCATGTGCCCTGACCAGGAATCAAATGGGCAGCCTAGGCTAGTGCTCAGCCCACTGAGCCACGCTAGCCAGGGCTCCTTTGTGGGGTCTTGATAAGAAATTGAGTTAATGCATATCATGTGCTAAGAACGGTGTTCAGTAAATGTGAGGTATTATGATGCTGTAAGAAGAATGCAGAGGCACACGCAAAGACTAATATAGAGGGATGGCCAAAACTTGGAGGAAAATCTGCAAGATGACAGATTCCTACATCCTTTGGCTCAGGAATTCCACTTCTAGGAATTTACCCAATTACATAAGTATGGCTTTGTTCATAAGTTTCCATGTAAGATTTATTGCAATGTTTAAAGTAGCAAAAAAGCAAACCTAAATACCCAACAAGAGAGAGCAAGTTGAATTAAACCCACTGAACATGTGCAGAGGAATGCTTATTGATAGATATTATAGATTGTTAATTGAAAAAGCAGGTCATAAAGTCATGTACACCTAATATACTATGTAAAAAAGTATAGGCATAGAAAAAGCCTGGAACATTCTCAAATAACATTTATGGTTCTAAATTCTATGCAGAGAATTTATGGTTGAGTCTTACCTTCCTGTTTTATGTACTTTTACATTATTAGGTATTGTTTAATCATTTAAGAATTCACTTGGGTATTATTTGCAAAGTAGTAATAATAATCCACCCTACCCACCACGTTGCATGCCTGATAACCTTCCAGTCCAGCTTTCCCTTAACAGTTACTATTTTCTTGGAGGAGTGGTGTGAGGGAATCAAACTTGGTTCCACATCCTGTCTACCTACCTTCACAAAAGCATTTGCAGATAATGTCCATTCTGCTTAGTGTTTCAGTTCGACACACACTTAGTGCGTGTGCCTACCGTTCACTACCCAGGCCCTGATGTAGTCATTTGGCAGTGAAAGCTATGTCAGCCTGGCTCAGACCACCAGCTTCAGTGCTTCAATGCCTTTTCTGCCACTTAATAGCTATGTGATTCAGGCAGGTAAAATAACCTCTTTCATCTGAAAGCAAATATTTACTGAGCTCTGCCTACGTGTTAGGCAGTGGGGGTAGAGCACTGAACAAAAGAAGCACCTGTTCATGAAGCTCACATTCTAATGGGGAGAGATCGATGATAAATACATTTATGCCAGGCTGTGGTAGTGCTATGAAAACAATGCAGGATGAGGAGAATAAAGAACGACAGGCAGATGAGGCATGAATGTGGGTACATAGCTGCTAGAAAGAGTAGTCAGAGAATGTATCTCTACTAACATGCTATTTGCGCAGACAAAGGCAGCCAGCCAGGAGGAGGCGTGTGGGGAGTTTCAGGAAGAGGCGGTGGCATGCTGGCGCCAGCTGGCACTTGTTCTGATTGCGCCCACCTCTTCCCAACTTTGTGTTCAGTGAGGCCAAATTGATAGGTTGAAATCAGCCCTGAAGAGAGCATTTGTACACAGAAATCAGCAAATACTATGAATTCCCCTCCCCCCCCCAGAGAGCCATTTGTTAAATATTTACCAGCACACCACTGGGAAATGGGAGCAGTAAGTGCAAAGGCCCTGAGGTAGGAGTGTGCCTGGTGTGTTTGAGGACCATCGAGGCAACGTGAGTGGCTAGAGAAAATGAGAGGGAAGTGGATAGGAGATGAGGTCAGAGGTAGCCAGGAGCAAGATCAATAGGACTTCATTGATCATGGTAAGTACACTGGCCTTCATCCTAAGTAGAATCGAGGCCATAGGAAGGTTTAAAGCAAAAGCATGGCACCATCTGACTTTAAGCTTTGAGCAGAACCACATGGAGGAATCAGGAAGTCTAGTTGGGAGATCAGCAATAAGTTAGATAAGATATAATGATGGCTTGGTGGTGGTGTAGGTAGTAAGAAGAGCACCTCAATTTATTCATTTTTTTCAGATGTCATGAAGATTAAATAATATTTAAAACCATTGGCCTAGCACACAGGAGGCCATCAATAAATGATAGCTGTTGTTACTACTGACAGAATGCCCATCCTGGAGTGAGGATGGGGTGCCTGTGTCTGGTTAGGAAGGCAAATAATTTTACTACCAAGTGGTAAGTACTAGATTCCTGACAGAGGAGAGACACTTGGACCAAGTTGGGGGTAGAAAGGTCAGGAAGGGTGTTTGAACAAAAGGGGGCTGCTTTAGCAAAGGTGAAGGGAGATGGAATTAGAAGGAATGCAAACCTGCCTGAAGTGTCTACACCTCCCCAGTTCAGTGACAAGCACTTCTGGCTTTATCCTTGAGCAAAACAATCTGTGATCTGAAGGAACAGAGATAATTGAATTACTCAGTGTGTTAATTAAGTCACCAAGTAGGCCGTGGATCATTAGGTTCCAACTCAAATTCACTGGTAATTTTATGAATTCCATGAAGCCTTTGATTCTGATCAACAGTCAGACTTAACTCCAGCTGGTAAGAACTTGAGAACTTATTGTGGGAAAAGGAGTTTTTAATCTGAGGCCCAAATATGAGCTTTAGGAGGTCTGTGAATCCCATGAAGCTATTTACAGAATTATGTGTGCGCAGTGAATTTGGGGAGTAGAAGTAGAACTGAGGGGGTTCCATATTTATCAGATTCTCGAAGAGGTTCATGGCCAAAGATTAAAAACATCCCTACTGAGATTAATATTAGAAAGTAAAATTAGTCTAGGAGAATGGACATGTCTTTATTTGCCATTTCATCTATCATTAAAATATTTGGTAAAGTGATATTTTAAATCACATGAAATCTGTTCAAACACCGCATTTAAAAGTGGTCCCTTTATAAAAAGGCCTTTGTTATTTTATTCAAATATGAACCCAGAGAACGTTCATTCCCACTGAGAACTGCAGCTATGCCAAGTTCTGATGGTAAATGAGCTAATGATAAAATAAAAAATGCTTTCAGACAAAGTTCACTCTATCTGACTGTGCCATGATCAGCTGGTGTTCTTCCTTTTGAATGTTTTCTACCTCTGATTTTGTTGTTGCTTATTGAGTATTGATTTCCTACAGTCCCCTGATTGTAAGCTGCTGAGTCTTCAAAGTAACAACTATTCCTGAGCTTCTTCAAGGCCAATGAGATTGCAGAAATTTTACTTTAAAAAGAGGAATAATAGAAGTTAATTGCTCTGACTAGAATTTAAACTATTTGGGGTTGGAGATCATGCCATTACATTTTGCATACTCCTCAGGACATAATATAGTATCTCGTACCTAGTAGGTGCTCAAGAACTGTTTGTGGGTTGGTCACCCCTCACAGTGGGTTAAAAAATAGAACATCAAAGTCACAAAGATATATTTTCTTTCCAAATATGAAAAAAAGGAACTTCTTTCACATTCCTTACAGCATATACCATTCCTTGAAGGCAAAATTCTAGAAAATCTTTTAAATAACCGAAATGTATGCTTAGAGGTTAAAGCTGGTACAAGTTTTTAAAAAATGTAGTTTGTGATTACAGCTGCATGATATATTGATGTTTTCAAGATGAACAGCCATGACTATGTTAGTTTTGGTGGGGAAAAAGCAGTTTGGCGTTGTAGAAATATGTGTGATCTATAGCATAGTCAAAAACCATCAAGCGGGAGTTATTTTAAGGTTTAGAAGGTGTACGGCTCAGGCGCATGTGTAAACACTTAGACATGTGGGCTGTCTTCATGGTCCTCGTGTGTAATGTTTGGCTCGTGGCTGAGACATCCTTCCTCAGCACACCCAGGTTTCCTATGTGTGTCGAGAGTTGAGGCGTCGCGCTGTCTGCCAAGGGTTTCCTGGGCATGGCATTGCTCTAATATTCCAGCGTCACTGTCTTGGTTTTGAGGTATTCATTTAGCGCTTCCTCACCTAGAGAAGAGAAAGACTGTTAATGGGCGATGTTCATCGGTGGGTGTGATGGCATTAAACTTTGGGACACGGGAATGCATGTTGAGGTCACTAAGCAAATAGAATGTGGCTCAGACCAGTGCCTCTCCAACTTTAAAGCCCATGTGGTTCACCTGGTGATCTTGTGAAGCCGCAGCTTCAGATCCGATTATGTCTGGCATAGGCACCCCGATTATGCATCTTGTGTCTACTGTGTCTTTCTCTTTTTTTGAAAGTTTTTTTAAAGTT